AAAAGATATACAAGTCTAGAGCTTTATAGATTTGCCCAACTCGAGCATTCAACATTTACTAGTAATGAGTCCCTATTATATGGAAGTCAATGAACTAGGCAGAAGAAGACATAAAGATGAGTAAGACGGACCATTCCCTCAAGGAGTTTACAGCCCAAATACAGTAGTCCCCTGTTATCCATGGGGGATATATGTTCCAAGACCCCAAGTAAATGCTTGAAACAGAAGATAGTACTGAACCTATATACACATATAATTTTTTCCTATACATACCTATGATTAAGTTTAATTATAAATCAGGCAGAATAAGAGATTAATAATAACTAATAATAAAATAGAACAACTATAACAATATACTGTAGTAAGAATTATGTGGCCGAAACCGGTTTGGCTCAGTGGATAGAGCGTCGGCCTGCGGACTGAAAGGTCCCAGGTTCGATTCCGGTCAAGGGCATGTACCTTGGTTGCGGGCACATCCCCAGTGGGGAGTGTGCAGGAGGCAGCTGGTCGATGTTTCTCTCTCATCGATGTTTCTAGCTCTCTATCTCTCTCCTTTCCTCTCTGTAAAAACTCAATAAAATATATATATATAAAAAAAAAGAATTATGTGAATGGCTCTGGGCATTAATAAAAATAAGGGTTATTTTTATACAAGTACTGTGGTGCTGAAACCATCAATATGATAACCATGCCAGCTACTAGGTGACTAACAGGCGGGGAGCATATACACCATGGATACAGTGTGGGACAGAGTAGGACGGCATGAGATTTCAACACCCTACTAAGATTGGCATGCAATTTAAAACTTATGAATGTTTATTTATTGCATTTTCCATTTAATATTTTCAGACCATGGGTAATAGAAACTGTGGAAAACAAAACCGCAATTGGGGGCGGGGGGGGACTATAGGATCAGTTCCTACCTGACTCCTCCTACATATACACATGCATTATGCTACTCTCACCTACTCCCAAACCTCTGAGGAACTTTCATTACTCGTTTACTTCCTGATGTTTCTAATTTCTCCAAGGTCCCCACTGACCCCAACTTCACCTCCCAGGTCACTGACAGCCCTCCTGTGGTCTGCTTTTCCTTCTGGTTCGGCCCCTGGAAAGTCTGGACAATCTGTAATTAGATGAGGCCACTAGTTGATGCCTGTCCCACACTATACTTTGGCCTTATAATATCACCTTCCATTTACTGTCAGCCTCAATAGGGCAAAACTATTCCTCATATTTGGTCTCTACACCTTTTATATTTTTTATTCTTAATGTTTATATAATATAGTTCTCTCTAAAAATTCAAACAAAACAAGACAAAAGGGCAAAAAGTCACTCTCCCTTTGTTTGACACTCCCCGGAAGTAATCCCCATCCTTCGAAGCCTTTTTCTGTACACTTACAAACACACATAAGTTTGTTTTAGTATAAAGAGGATCATCATATATTGGCCGGCCTTTGACTTGATTTTTTTCACTTAACAATATATTCAGCCCTAACTGGTTTGGCTCAGTGGCTAGAGCGTCGGCCTGCGGACTCAAGGGTCCCAGGTTCGATTCCGGTCAAGGGCATGTACCTTGGTTGTGAGCACATCCCCAGAAGGGGGTGTGCAGGAGGGCTGATCGATATGTTTCTC